TTACAAACTCATAGTGGAGATTTAGGCAAAGATTATCTAAAAGAGTTAAGTTTAGGAATTTAGCAAAGAAAGCCACCAGGGAACTTACACCGAACACAAAATTGTAACTAGAGCAATCGAAGGATGCTGTAGTGAAGCACAAAATCCTAAAGACTGGTGAGTTCCTAAAAGAGTTAAGTTTAGGAATTTAGGAAAGAAAGCCACCAGAGAACTTACACCGAACACAAAATTGTAACTAGAGAAATCGAAGGATGTTGTAGTGAAGCACAAAATCCTAAAGACTGGTGAGTTCCAATTTGGATTTATTTTTAGGGTGTTTAATGACTACACTGAGGTATGATGCATGGGGACTCACACCCTTCTTTGATTTATTAGACAAGACATTGAACTATTGAGCGGTAATAAAACCAACAAATCATAAACATGTTCTGCCATTTGATGGTTTTAAATGACTGCACTTAGACAGAAACCACAAGAACTCATACCAATCTTATATTTACTAGGCAAGGCCTCAGCCCCTACTGAGCAACTCATGACATAGTAGAATCACTGAACTAGAATAGGGTAAGTGTAGATTTTTTTTTGAGTTTATAATGACTGCACTAAGATAAGAAGCACATGACTCATACCTATCTTAGATTTATTAGAAAATGCATCAACCTATTGAGCGATTCATGGCACAATACAACCAATAAACCCTAAACATTTTTGACACTTTAATAGTTTTCAAAGACTACACTATGACAAAAAAACATGAGGAATCACACTCATCTTACATTTACTAGGCAGGACATTCACCTACCATGCGATTCATGGCATAATTCAACAATGAACTAGAATAGCAAAATGTTAGGTTTAACTTTAGGTTTTTAATGATTACACAAAGACATGAAGCAAGAAGACTCACGTCCATCTTAAATTTATTAGGCAATGCATTGGCCTACTAAGAGATTCACGGCATGGTACAACCAATGAACTCTAAAAATTTCTTACTCTTTGATGGTTTTCAATGACTACACTACGACATTAAATATGGAGACTCACACCCTTCTTAAATTTATTAGGTAAGACATTTGTCTATTGAGTGATTCGTGACACAGTAAAACAAATGAATCGAAATAGAAAAAAGGTCATTTAATTTTGGGTTTTAAATTACTATACAAAGACAAAAAGCACAACAACTTGCACCCATCTTAGATTTAATAGGTAAGACATTGGCTTAATGAGAGATTCAAAGCAAAGTACAACTAATGAATACTAAATTTTTTTTTTTATTTTTTGTTGGTTTTCAATGACTACACTAAGATAAGGAGCATGGGGACTAACAAAATCTTAGATTTACTAAGCAAAACATTGACCTACCAAGCGATTTGTGGCACAGTATGACCAATGACCTAAAATAGAAAAATATTAGATTTAATTTCTTTTTGGTGATATGAAGTGATAATTTTATATTTTATTATAAGTATAGCTATTAATATCTTAATTGTTTATTATAAAAGAGGTATCCTCCATCATTAATAATTGCACTAGGCATTCTAGATCTAAAAATAATAAAATTTTAAAAAATTTTAAAAATAACCAGTAAATCGCATTTAGGTAAAGCCGCTTACATTTCTATTTTAAGACAGTTCACAAATTCACTCAATTTAAATATATTAGTTTTCAAAAGATGTATAAAAGGTCTCATAAACTCTATTTCCTAAACAAAAAATATTTTGACTTCCATAATATAATTTAAGGGATTTTATTCTTCTTTGATATATTATCTACCGACAGATTTTTATCATAACTTTTAATATATTCATTTACCTCTTTAAAATTGCAAGACTAATAAAATTCTATTTGTAGATCACTAAAGCAATTCAAAGTCTTTTAAATTGTCCTCCAAATTATGAATCATGATAGCGTCTTATAATGCAACATTCTATCAACAAATTTTATTCACCCGACATAGATCTCAAAGCATGACTTTTGAGGTAATTTTTTGAGCAAGGAATATTCAAATTTAAATTTGAAATCATTTAGAACTTTAATTATAGCAAATTTATAATCAAAATGACCTACACCATGAGACAAACACAATGACACATAAATTAGTCCAATCTAAGTCAAATCAAACTCAGATCAAGTCATTAAAAAACTTTTTGAAGCTTTTATTACGTAATTGGAAGTTTAAATTGATTAAAATTTTGACAAGCTTATATTTAAATCAAGCGGCTCAATGAAAATTATCTAACGAGACCAAATTTACTCAATTATAACATCATTAATACACTCAAATCTTTGCAAAGCACTATCTGATCAAGTGAACCTCTCTAGACCATTTAGTGGAGTGATCTGAATTTTTTTCTTATTTGTAGACAGACATCTTCCAGACTTTATAAATATAGTACTATGCCTTCATGAAATTGGGCTAGGTCTTGAACCGAACAAAGAGCTAGACAAAGAAGAATGAGCTAAAGTTCAATGTTCTACACTGAAGGCACAACAAGCACCACCTGCTCCTGCAGTAAACGAACACTATCAACAACCCCATACCACCCACAAATCAAGTGTATTAATTGTGGCGACTCATGATTGGTTCTCTATACATGCGACATGTGGACTTAATAATTCTCTCCATATAGACCTATAATTGGTTTTCAAAGTACGACAATCAACAACGAGCAACCAATTATTAGCCCTCTGTGAACCCTACAAATACAATGAAATTATTAATTTATCATAAAATGATACATAAAAAACACATGCTCATGTCATACAAGTTCTATTTTTCAAATATAAGAAGAAGGAAAACTTACATTCATTTCACTCAATTCCTTTACATATTCATTTCACTCAATTCCTTTACATATCTACTACCTAAACTTCATTTTAGTGATGTTCACTTTATCTATGCATTAAGATATGTATTTGTGATATTTTTTATGTGATATAAAATATTAGGATGGTATAAATATAAAAATTAGTTTTAAGTATTAGATATAAGAATAAATGTATGCTAAATGCCCCAACAAAATAATTTAATAGAATAAACCCAATAAGAAAATTAAAAAAAAAAAAACTAATTCCAAAACCAACGCTTCAGATCAACTCATCAAATCTGCAGATTATATCCCACCACACAATTCCATCCAATCAAAACAATTTAAAAAAAAAAAATGAACGCAGAGAAATATCTTCTCCCATTTCACGTTACCCCCAACCTAAAATCAAGCAACATTCCAACCAAATCAGAAACTCTCCGATTGATGCCGGAGTGTCGGCCGCCACCCCCCCCCCCCCCCCCCGCCGTACTTCCGGCGGCGTATCAACATGACCTGCCGGTGCGAATTAGAATGTATAGCAGGAGAAAACGTCGGGCTGTTCGCCGGCCGGTATTCCGGCACCAGTCGGCCGGAGTTATACCGCACCCCGCACGCGTTACAGAGTGTCTTCGGTCCCTCCGGCCCCAACCTCCACTGCGGCGTCTCCTGCGCTTCGCAGTGCCGGCATTTCTTCCTCTCCGTCGCCGGCGACGGCTCAAAGGCCGGCAGAGCCTTCCGCCTCCTCCGTCTCCCGCCACTCCTTGCCCTCGCCGGAGGTCGGAAAGGCGGCCCCGAAACAGGATCGAAGTATGTTTCGAGAGGGGGAAAAGCGTCCTTGTTGGCCAGCCATTCGAGCTCCTCTTCCTCCCCATCTACAGATAAACCCTAGAATATAGAAGAGATTAGATGTTTGCGAGATTTGTTAATAAGGGGGGGTATGGGGTGAGTTGCGTACAGGACGTTGATCGATATCGGCGTCGGGGATTTCCGAGAAGAGGAGCGGGGTGGGGGCGATAGGGTTACAGTTTGGGTCGCCGGAGAAATCAAAGAATAAGGAGTCGTCGGCGAGAAGCTCCGACGGCGCAGGAAGGCCGATCATGTCGCACAATCAGAAACCCTAGCCCCGTCCGGCGAAACCTCGAGGTCCTCAACTTATTGATTGCCGCTTATGCCCTAGATCAACTTGAGCTAAATTTGGTTAGGTCTGGTGCTGATTTGAACGGAAAATTTGGTTTTTTTAAAGATCGGTTATATAAAATTAAGGATAAATACTGACTATGAATAGTTAAAATAAATCAGCTATCAAATTAGTTATATCTCGATTAAAACATGCAAATGACAAGATGAATAGATAAAGAACAATAAAATATAGAAGGAATGCAAAGTTGTCAAAGATTAATTATAATTGAACATGGTTCTCGAAGCATTTTGAGGGAGAAATATTTTGAATTCAAATTTATGATAATATGGGAACAATTTTATATTCAAATTGAGACAAGACGAACCTAATGGCATTGAAAGTTTCATTGATATGAATAAATTATCATATTGTTAAAACTCAGAATAATGTGGTTGAATACACACCTTTTCATTGATATGAATGTGGTTATATGGCATTGAAAGTTATCTTGTCTGAGTTCAACCAAGACTAGATAAAATACTTTTAAGTGTTGTTAGAGGTTGTGATGATCAATTAGAAAGTCAAAAGATCTTAAAATTTGACATGACTAAAGTTAAATCGACCGCCTTGAAGAGAGGAATACAACAAACCAAAGATCATTCAATTTTGATGTCCGTAAGACACTTAGATGTTGAATAAACTATATGTGATTAAAGAAATCAACATGGACCGTCTGGTGAAATGTTTTGAAAGATTGATCAAATTTACCAAAATGCTCATGTCACAAATACATAACTCCTAACACTCCCCCTCAAGTTTAGAATGTATGTTAATAGGAGAATAGAAGAGTGAGCTAACGACAAAAATTTAACTCTCAAACTCTCGGCGGTTGTCACTGGTCACCCAACCGACCGCTAGAGTTTGTCGTCGACCGCTAAATGTCACTATCGACTACTAGAGATCATCATCAACCACCAACCGTTGTTGATCACCACCAATTATTTCCTTGATCGCCCTACTACGATTACTATAGTTTTCTCTAACTATGCAACCCCTTAATCACACATATTCACTACTAAAGTAACTAACCAAAGAAGAAGAGAAAGAGCTGCCAATCCCCTCTTGCCAACCGTAGCCAATGATATAAAAGGTCAAATTGACTCCCCTTGCGATCAATTAAGCCTAGAATGAAGTGTCAGAAATGCTATGTGTTTTTCAATACTAGGGTGTAAGTCGCAATGGATTTTATTTTTCCTTGGAAATATGATTGTAGTCATATTCAATAATGATATTTAGCAAATTGCTAGTTGTTGCTTTTGAATTTGTTGTCACCTGAGGAGGGTGTTTTCCAAATGATCTTATAAAACAACCCATGAAGCATGACAGTGGTGCGAGTATGGTCACAGAGTCGCGGGAGTTAGTCAAAGGGGGGGTGGCAACGGTCAGAGTTGGTTGGAAGGTGGTGATAACTAGAGTTGGTCGGAGGATGACGAAAGTCGGAGTTAGTTGGAAGGCTATGGATTATCCGTACAGAAATGATGCAGGAGTTCAACACATTCTCCATGCTTCAAGCTCTAGGTCCCCTCTCATGAGAGGAATTAGACTCTATTTGTAGAATTCTGGTTGCATTTAAGGAAGAAATATGAATCACTCTGATCAAAGGGTTCAAAAAGATTCTGTCGATCAGACAATATTGATGGAAATCTGAGTGATGACAATGTCGAAATTAAGCAAACTTAAACTCATTAGATTCTCGTTATCGAGACGCTCAATTAGACTAGGAGCTCGCCATATTCAGAATCCATTTAACTTTTCAACAAAGTACGCAAAGATTTCGAAAGGGGTTCATTGTCTTGATCTGGGCTTATTTGACTTGGATTAGATCTATTTTGGTACCGTTGGGTCCGTAGTCTCATCAAGCTGGTCAATTTATCTATATGTATGTTGAATTTAAAGTTTTGGAAGACTTTTATATGAAGTTTGAATGTTTCTTGCTCAAAAAATTACTTCGAGATCAGTGTTTTGCCTCAAAATCTGTGTCAGATAAAAGAAATTTATTAGATGTGTATTAATTATTATACCAACTAAATCTATACCAGTATGCTGTAGCAAAAAAAATAATGGAATTAAGAATGAAATTTTTAAAATTAGTTAGCTTAGAAAAGATAGGTGGATGATTTCCAACTTTTTCACTAACTTTAAGAATGCAATTAAAGCAACAAAAACATTAAACTACCTTCGTCTATCTGTCAAAGAAATCATCCAATTACAACAATTAGTATTGCTTTTATATCAAAATCATTTTATGTAATTTATCATATTTACCCTTATGGGCTATTTACATGTATACCACTGGTATGACTTATAAATGTATCATGTAACAGAGACATTGAAGATATCAGAAAATCAACTTTTTTCTTCTGCATTTTCTTTCTCCCTTTCCAGCTTATATGGTATAAAAAACTCTTGCTATTGCAATCTCAAGATCCATGGAGTCTCCATACTCCGCCACCCCACATCTGTTCCATTTCTCTCAAGAATCTCTAAATAAGATAAAGGAAATCTATATTCCTTCCCCTCTCAAATTCCTAATGCATGATATTAAAGGTGTGGCCAATGCTCCCCTATTATTTGAAAATTATGTTGTTTGAAAAATTAAAATGCACAAACTGTTTCCTCCCCTCCCAACCAAAATAGCAACAACATTTCAGTGATACATTTATTTAAAATCATGATTATATTCTTTAGAAACTAGTGGATTAAAACTTAACCACATCCCTTGTTTCTACCATTTCTCCATCTGTTCTTCCTTATTTTCTACATCTAACTCACACCGCAGACATATGGATGACTCTTGAACGACAATTTCAATCTGTAAATCGTTCAAGAGTAATCCAACTTAAAAATTGATTACAACATTCATATGGGTCACCAAAGCATGACCCAATATCTCACCTCTATCAAAAATCTTGTTGACAATATAGCCACCGCAGGATCAAAATTTGATAAAGCTGATATTATTCTATCAAAAACTTATTGAAAAAACAACAACCACAACTCCAAATTAAAAAAAAATAATTTATCTTGAAATGAATGCATTAGTAATAAATGTTATAAATTGTCATTTTCTGTCAATACTAGTCAATTTGCTCCCTTTTTGAATTACTTCATTTAGATGTGTAGGGTCCATTCTCACAACCCTCTATTGATTGTTGTATTTACTTTATTACCTTTATTGATGGCTATTCTCGTTATTGTTAGTGTTATTCTCTTATATTCAAAAGCTAAATTTTTCCTATGCTTTCTTAATCAGCAAAAACAAATTAAAAAGCAGCAATAAAAGACAATTAAAATCTTAAGAATAAATGGCAGGACAAAATATAAGTCAAATCAATTGCAAACATATCTGCAAAACAACGACATTAATCATCAAATCAACTGCCCCTATGCTCTTGAGCAAAATAGGATAATTGAACATAAAAATAGACATATTATTGAAACTGCTAAAACTTTGTTTAACATTGCCTTTTTACCACATTAATTTTGGATGGCAGTTGTCCAACTGCATTTATGTACCTTATCAACTGCATTTTTCTACCTTATCACCTGCATTCCATCTCACAGTAAATCTCCTTTCCTACTATTATACCACACTCTTTTTGCATATCATATACTGAAAACCTTCGATTGTGTATGTATCTCATGACATCCATGTATCTCATGGCATCCACCCTTTTATGAATAATAAATTTTGTCCAAAAGCCCCTCTTTGTGTCTTTTTGGGTTATACCATCACAAAGGCTATAAATATTTTCCTTCTTCTTATCAAGGTTTTAAAATTGTCATTAGAACTCAAACAACATCCCTAACTCTTGAAGATTTCTACTCACCCCTTCAAAGTGAAAAAAACTTGATAAATGAGTTATATGAAGTACTCTGAAGATTTCTACTCACCCCTTCAAAGTGAAAAAAAATCATCTTGCTAATGAATCTTTAGAATCTATTTAAACCGCTGCTCTCTTCTCTTATAAAAACAAAAACTCTTATTCTAAATCAAAAATTCTTAATAAGAATTAACAAAACAGTAAATCCTCCACTTACAACAACACCCAACAACCCAAAACCATCAATGCCTATCAAATTTGCCAAGAGAAATGACACTCAACAGACCAATGTTGGCATCGAACCAACTTACAGTACAAACCCGATGCAACCACATCTCTCATTGTTCCAATCACTACTAGGAATCAAGATTGGATACTCAACACAGGAACTAGTGCACACGAATCTCCACACCATGACAACATATGACAACCCACTGCCTACAATGGTTTAGACCAAGTTGAGCTAAGAAATGGCCAAGCAACTGAAATTTACACATTGCAAACGGTATTCTTCCCACACCAGATCGTAAGCTTCATCTCTCCTCTATTCTCAGAGTACTTCATATAACTCATAAACAAATCTCTATGTCTAAATTTGTTGAAGATAATCAGTGTTCTATTACCTTTCACCCTAATGGTCTCTTGATAAAGGATCTTCACACAAGGAAATCACTCTCAATGGTCAAACTAACCAAGGACTATACCCTCTCATAGCTCTCACTGCCATCATTTTATCCACAACTTGGCATAATCAGTTGGGACACCCACATTCCAAAGTTATCCACACCATCACAAAACAACAACCACAACTTAAAATTAGCAAAAATACCTTACCTTGAAATGAATGCATCATAAATAAATAACATAAATTGCCATTTTCTGTCAAAACTAGTTAATTTTCTCCCTTCAAATTACTTCATTCAGATGCATGGGGACTATGCTCACGACCCTCTATTAATTGTTTCATTTACTATGTTACCATTATTGATGACTATTCCTGCTAATGTTAGTGTTTTCCTTTATATTCAAAAGCTGAAGTTTCCCAATGCTTTCTTAATCTGCATAAACAAATCAAAAAGTAGAAAAAAAATTTAATTAAAATTCTAAGAACAGATGGCGGCACAGAATATAAGTCAAATCATTTGCAAACACATCTGCAAAATAACGACATTCATCATAAAATCAGCTGCCCCCTACACTTCTGAACAAAATAAGATATTTGAACATAAAAATAGACATATTATTTGAAACTGCTCGAACTTTGCTTAACCCTGCCTTCTTATCACATAAATTTTGGATTATAGTTGTTCATACAGTTGTCTATCTTATCAACCACATGCCATTTCACAAAACTCACAATAAATCTCCTTTTTTGTTGTTGTACCACACTCTTTTTGTATACCACACACTAAAAACCTTCAGTTGTTCATGTTTCTCATGGCATCCACCGTCTATGAATAATAAATTTCATCCAAAAGCCCTTCTTTGTGTCTTTTTTGGTTACAGTCACCATCACAAAAATTATCAATGCCATGATATTCAACAAGAGCGTATAATTATATCCCGACATCTCATTTTCGATGAGGGATACTTCCCTTTCCAAGAAAAACAAACTCATGCAACACCACCATCCACTCCCACCACATCCCCTCCATCTCTTTTAATACTTGTTTCCACCATAATCGCTTTTAACACACCTACCACTCTATTACCAAATATTTGTTTCACAACCATAATCGCCACGTCACCTCAAGATCCCTCTACTAATAATTTCACCCCTCATAACAACACACTCGCCGCCATTTGTTCACCAGCCACTCACGCTTCACTCCCTCTTACACAACTTCCATCGTCCAGAACCCACCTCATGCTCACTCACACACAAGTAGATAAAATAAAACCTTCCAAAATCATCTCACTTTTACATCACACCAACTCTGACTTGCCCATTACTTTTAAACAAGCTATGTAAAACCCCACTTGGCACAATGACACGTAAAAAAAAAATTATGGCACTCCAACAACACGGAAAATGGACAAATGTTCCCCCAACCTCACATCAAAATACTTTAGGATGTAAATGAACTCTCAGGATCAATATCACACTGATGGAACTATTGCTCGTCATAAAGAAAGAATGGTGGCAAGGTTTCAAGCAACAACCAGGTATTGACTTTCATGAAAATTTTAGCCCGTTTTAAAATTTTCAACTATTCGTGTCATATCAGCTTAGCCACCACTGAAAAATGGTACAAACAATAATTAGATGTCTCAAATTGCTTTTTACATGGGAAGCTTGATGTATATACATGTCTCAAACCCCCCAATTTTCAAGAGAATAATTATCTACACTATGTATGTAAATTAAATAAAGCTCTTTACGGTCTTAAACAAGCACCACGTCAATAGTATTCCACCTTTTGCAACTACTTATACATCAAAAATTAAAATTAAGCACCTCTGACCACTCGCTACTTATTTACCATCATGACAAAACATGCATTTATCTATTAATCTATGTTGATGATATCCTAGTTATAAGAAACTCATCAATTGAAATAAACAACTTGATAAAAAAAAATTAAGAACCCAATTTAACCTGAAACAACTTGGATCTCTATCACATTTCTTAGGCTTACAAATAGATACAACCATTAATGGTTATTTCTTGCATCAAACAAAATATTTGTCTAATTTGCTAAGAAAAGCCGGTATGATGAAATGAAAATCTATCTTGACACCCTTAGCTCTTCAACCTTTCAAAATCTCTACTTCTACTCCTCATTTTCCCAATCCACAATACTATAGGCAATTGAGGAGCTTTACAATAACTTACTGTAACCATGCCATATATCACCTTTAGCGTGAATTTTTTAAGTCAATATATGCTTGAAGCAAATACTTATCTCTTTCAACTACTTAAAGATTATTGCGCTATTTTAAAGGTACACTCAACCACGGGTTGCCTATCATCACTGGGACACTCTCCCTATCTACCTATGCCGATGCATATTGGTCGAGTGACAACAAAGATAGAAAATCCACTATACGTTACTGCATCTACCTTGACCTCAATCTCGTCTCGTCGTTTTCCAAGTAGCAAATACATTGCTCGATCTTCAACAGAAGCATAATACAGTGCAATTGCCATCACTACAACCAGAATATTATGGCTAAAAAGGCTATTAGAAGAACTTACCGAGCTCTCCTCATCTCCAATCAATTCCTACACCGATAGTACCTATGCACCGGATCGTAAGCTTCATCTCTCCTCTATTCTCAGAGTACTTCATGTAACTCATAAACAAATCTCTATGTCTAAATTTGTTGAAGATAACCAGTGTTCTATTACCTTTCACCCTAATGGTTTCTTTATAAAAGATCTTCACACAAAGAAATCACTTCTCAATGGTCAAACTAACCAAGGACTATACCCTCTCATAGCTCTCACTGCCAACATTTTATCCACAACTTAGCATAATCAATTGGGACACCCACATCCCAAAGTTATCCACACCATCACAAAACAACAACCACAACTTAAAATTAGCAAAAATACATTACCTTGAAATGAATGCATCATAAATTGCCATTTTCTGTCAAAACTAGTTATTTTTCTCCCTTCAAATTACTTCATTCAGATGCATGGGGACCATGCTCACGGCCCTCTATTAATTGTTTCATTTACTATGTTACCATTATTGATGACTATTCCTGCTAATGTTAGTGTTTCCTTTATATTCAAAAGCTGAAGTTTCCCAATGCTTTCTTAATCTGCATAAACAAATCAAAAAGTAGAATAAAAAGTTAATTAAAATCTTAAGAACAAATGGTGGCACAGAATATAAGTTAAATCATTTGCAAACATATCTACAAAATAACGATGTTCATCATAAAATCAGTTGCCCCCTACATTCTGAACAAAATAGGATATTTGAACATAAAAATAGACATAGTATTTGAAACCGTTCGAACTTTGCTTAACACTGCCTTCTTATCACATAAATTTTGGATGATAGTTGTTCATACGGTTGTCTATCTTATCAACCACATGTCCTTTCAAAACACTCACAATAAATCTCCTTTTCTGATGTTGTACCACACTCTTTTTGTATATCACACACTAAAAACCTTCAGTTGTTCATGTTTGTCATGGCATCCACCGTCTATGAATAATAAATTTCATCCAAAAGCCCTTCTTTGTGTCTTTTTCGGTTACAGTCATCATCACAAAGATTGTCATGCTATGATATTCAACAAGAGCCCATAATTATATCCCGAAATCTCATTTTCGATGAGGGACACTTCCCTTTCCAGAAAAAACAAACTCTTGCAACACCTCCATCCACTCCCACCACATCCCCTCCATCTCTCTTAATACCTATTTCCACTATAATCACTTTTAACACACCTACCACTTTATTACCAAATAATTGTTTAACACCCATAATCCCCACGTCACCTCAAGATCCCTCTACTAATAATTTCACCCCTCATAACAACACACACGCCACCATTTCTTCACCAGCCACTCACGCTTCACTCCCTCCTACACAACTTCCATCAACCAGAACCGACCTCCCGCTTACTCACACACAAAAAGATAAAATAAAACCTTCCAAAATCATCTCACTTTTACATCACACTTACTCTAACTTGCCCATTACTTTTAAACAAGCTATGTAAAACCCCACTTGGCACAACGCCATGTAAAAAAAAAAAAATATGGCACTCCAAAAACATGGAAAATGGACACATGTTCCCCCAACCTCTCATCAAAATACTTTAGGATGTAAATGAACTTTCAGGATCAATATCACATTGATGGAACTATTGCTCGTCATAAAAAAAGAATGGTGGCTCAAGGTTTCAAGCAACAACCAGGTATTGACTTTCA